TGCTACGGACCGAGATTGTTTGCCGCCTGCTTAGTTTGGTTAAGCGTTAAGCCTGCTCGGACGGGTCGCAGGCCATGGATAGGAAGAGAGGTGCACCCTTGCACTGAAAGCTTCATCATCTCCTACTGTGTCCTGCGCTGTGTGTACAAATCCAAGATAAGGCAAGAATGTTGAGTCCCTTCTCGCGGCCTTCGACGTCCTCACAGACTCTCGCGATGAGGCAAGACGGCAGGGGGATCGCCATCCGGTTTCACGCCTGTACGATCAGGAGCGAAACGTAAAATCAGGGGCCTCGTGGGGCGGGTCTCCGACGTTGTGCAAAGAAGGACACGATTTGGCGAGTAAACGTGATCCTCAATTTGTGCGATGTTGTCGGATGCGTTTTTGGATGACTTCCCTCGATTGATCAGCTGCGCTATTCTCACAATGCCTTGGATCTCGTGCACGTTTCTCTTTTCTTGTCTTCGGGGATGCTGCGACATGTCACTGCAGGACCACTTGACTGCCAAAGAGGAGTCGTCGCTGCAAGAGTTCCTCGACACTGCGACGAGCTTTACAAAATTCGCTGGCTTCGCAGTCTTCGGTCGTCCCCCTCGTTTGTGCAATCTAGGCTGAAATCTAGGCAAGTGACGTGGCAGTGTCATTGGTGCTTTCTGCTAGATTGCAGTTGTTTCGAATTTGTGCATGCATGCCTCTGCTGCGAGGCTTCGCAGGATTGCAGGAGGATGGACGGACACACGGATACACGCATAGACCGGAGGCAGACAGAACTGCAGCAAGAACACAGGTTTGGGCAGACGAGGACGGAGAGAGAAAGAGCGAAACGGAGAGAGAAAAAGAGACGTGCACAGTGCATGCGCGCACTTGCCAAGTTAGACGGAGCCGTGCCAAACGGAAAAAAGAGGAGAGGGCAGGAAAGCCAGCCGGGTGTTGCAGCAGCCAGCACTTGATACACACTCGCGTTAAAAATGAAGAAGTCGACATAGCCTTGCACTTCCTAAGGCTTCTCTCTTAGCCCAGGCTGAGTTTCGAGGATGTGACCAGTGAGGTTGATGCTGATTTGGAGGCCCCTGCCGAATGGATGGATGTTGCAGAGATTAGGTACATGGCTTGCAGCGACTCGCGGATTTTCTCCGGTGCCTTTGCATTCACAACCTACTGGTAGCTTTATTGTGGCTCCTGCCATGCATGTTAATCTGACACGCTGTTGTGTCCTCGGAGTCCCGACATTGTACAGGAGCTGAGCGACAATGACGAGGCTGGCCAGCAGAGGATTCAGGGTGTTGAAGTCACAAGGATAGTCTGCAGTGCTTCCAAGTGCGAGATCTCTGTGAAACTTGCATCTCAGTTGCACCTCGAGGCCCACATGGTTCGCGAAAGAAGTCTTGAGCAGTCATTTGGTGGTGCTGTAGGCCTACTGCAAGTAAGCAATCCGAAGGACTTGCAGACTTCAAGCCCTGCAGAGAAGCACCTGACTGCGTTGAAGTTGTCATGGCAGGCAGATGATGAGGAAGCAGAGGAAGTCAGGTCTGCTGCTCCCGAGTCTGCAGATGTCTCAGAATACATCGCAGGAGGTGACACATTCGCAGGTCTCGCATGCACTGGCATGCCTCTCAGGACATATCATGTCCGCTTGAACACATGAGAAGGGCTCGCGATTCGTAGCCCGACCTTTTGAGCCCTACTGAGCCGACGAGCGATCTCATATGGGCGGGCGATCCAGAAAGCACGCTGTTCAGCTACTACAGTAGGCCCTGATGCTCACGACCCGGACACGAAGTGGCCTGGGTGTGTTCATGTGTCGAGGCTGAATCTTTGAGAACCTCTCGGCCGAAATAGCAGCAACTAGCAGAACATAATGGAGGAGTGCCATTCCAAGCCTATTTCACGGACCCTCTGAGGAACTACCCGAACATCCCTGAAGCTATCATGTGCAACGGAGTTGCTCCAACTTCTGAGCGGCCTTGTAGACTTTGTGATATGCTGCAGTAAGGGCCTCAACAGGCATGCTAGTGTAGTAGTGTAGGACGACCCCATGTGCCGAGGTCTCCATGGCTCGGGAATCCTCCGAGCCGACCCTGTTCGACCGCGCGGAACTCCATGTCCAGCGTGCGGGCTCTCGGCAGTCTGCTTAACTGGAAACCTCGCAAGAAGTATCATGACCAAGCAAGTCTTTATTCAGATTTAAGGTTGAATTGAAGGAGGGCGCGAGGCGACAGCCTATTCGGGGTTTCTACACTAGCGTGAGCAGCTAGAGGCAGCCAGGGTCAAATCACCCGCACCTCATGCGACAGAAGTGTGCGGAGGAATGGGAACTTCCTTCAAGTAGTATCACGTACTGTATAGATACGGCAATCGTGCAGCTGGATAGCCAGAGCGATTCTGAAGTTACAATTGCGTGCTTGCTGGCGAGCCGATGACAGACACCTGTGCACGCATACCGGTTCCAAGGCCGAGCTCCTTTGGGTGTCCCTGCGAAGCTTCGCCTGGCAAGACCCCTGGTTAGGAGGTGCATGAACGGTCTGCTGGAGTGATAGAGCAAGGGTTGCAGCAGAGAAGCCAATGACCTCTCTTTGTTGGAGCTGACAGGGATGTTGATTCAGGCCAGAGGGCTGAGTGTGGAACCCATCGAGCTTGAGGTGAAGGTCTTCAACGGCTTTCACAAGGACAATGCGGACAAGATCCTTCCGCAGGCCTCGCCGCGAGTGTCCCAACGTAAATAGGCTTACTTAGAACGGTCGAGTCCACCAGAGTGAGTGGCAGCTGAGTCAAAAAGCTTTGTTGGCCACCTGTCAGTACCCATTACACAGTCTTGAGCGCGAGACCCGTGAACGCAGTATCGCAATGAGCTGATTACCGAGAGTAGCATTTGCTTTAACCTGCTTCGGGTATTTCTGGGACGTATGCCGCGAGCTGTAAACCGGAGGAGGGTTTTGTTTCGCATCATTTTATAAGCAGAGCTAGCAGTGACTTGCACGCCCATGGCCGAAATGTTCACTTCTCGTGTCACCCTTTTTTTGCCCTGTTGTCGCCCTTGAGACTGCTGGCATCCTCCTGCTGATGTATGCCTCCTCACGGAAGAGCAAGACGTCGCACAAGGGCCATGGAGAGAAGGCCTTTGGGAGGGTACTGGACTTACTGGACCTTAGCTTTGCAGGTGACCTTCGATCTCCGGCCGAGTTTTGTCTTCTCACAGGAGAAAGACTCTGTCGACCCACTGACGGACAGCACCGACTTGATCCAACAGCTTGTTGAGGACGGCTTCGGCTGATTGTATTCTGCATTTTGGGAGTCACCAGAAGCTGGGGTGGGAAATTTTGACCTGCCGCAGCAGAGTCACATCAGGGCAACTTGAGGGCACCTCCCTAGATCAGAGTGCCGTCGCGCCCTGGCCATACTCGTCTAGAGTCTAGAGACTAAGCTTCAAGAGGTCGAGCTACTGCTGGACTCCACTTCCGAAGCTCGGTGGCTGGCGAATCTGGGCTAGACCAGACTTCGGCTGGATTCAGGCTTGGATCCGGATTCAGTAAGCCTCAGTAGACAGGCTCGCACAACAATACGTATCAAATAATTTCGCTGGGCAGGCCCAATGGCAAGCGAACGACGCTACGCCGATAACGGCCTCCAACCCAACGCCGAAGGTAGAGTGTCGACGTCCTGTTTCGATATACGGACGCCGTTGTTCGAGGGCCCACAAGGATAGAGCGCATTAGGTGATTCCAGAAAGTAGCTTCATGAAGGTCTATCAAAGAGTGAAGAGAGAGCAGGCATGTCTGTGGAAAAGTGTCACAGGGGCCTCTCGAAGGATGCCTCAAGCCTTGGATGCCTTCTTGTGGCACAGTGCTTAATTGAGAAACCCGTTTTGATGCCTGCGTTCTTCTGTTCATGTTCCTTTCGCTGCTGATGCTCAGTCTTAACTTTTGTTAGGGTTTTGGGGGGGGGCTCAGGCTCCGGTTCTGCTGTTGTACTATTGCTGTACTATTGTACTACACCATTGCTCTACTTTACTGTTGTAAGTTGAAATTAGTACTGTATTACAAAAGACAAGTGCACTTATGTACCACTCTCCGGGGACGGGGGTCTGGGGGGAGCACACTGGGTTCAAGGGCTCGGCAAAGTTTTCAGCACTAAACACTTTAGTGCAACACTGGAAGCCTATATTATATGGCGTGAGCTGCTTTATGCTTATCCTCAGGAACTTCACGGACCTGGACCCACTATGGTCTGAGCCCCAGCATGGCAGAGTCTAGTCCGGGCATCTTCACGATAGTTCTCCGTAACAGTCTCCAGTCTCCGCTGACTCAGCTTGGGAGGGGTTTCTACGGTTAAGGGAAGAACAGAAACGCACTAGGACGACTGTTTTGCTACATCATAATAATATGGTTATTATTTTTACTGTGGGAGCGGTGGTGGTGGTGGTGGCGGTGATGGGGACATAGTCAATGGCCCAAGCTTCAAGCTACCGCTCCCACAAAATTGAGAATTCTCCCGCTCTTGCTCCATTGAAGTCTCGCATCTATTTAATCTATTTATTTCACTTAGTTTCGGGTTTCATCCTGCGGTCTGAGTTTCTTGACGTCACCGCAAGGAGTTTTAGAGCGTAGAGCGTAATCAGAGCTTAGCCGCAGCATGAATCTGTCCAAGTTCCTTCTTCAACAAGTTTATCCAGTTTGTGCCTGGGAACGCATAGGACATGTGAAATGTTCACGGATCTGCTTCGCCGGCTCGTCCTGTTCACAATGCCGGAGTCCAACTCTGCCGTGTACTTTACAAGATCCCACAACCGAAAACTGTAGCTATAGCTTACTCCCGATCGCTCGTGTTTGGTATCCGTGTTGTTGCACTGGGTGGAGTCCCGTCACCCCGCAAACTATGCTAAGCACCTAGTAGCAGGGCTTCGCACGCTAGCACTGCACGCATGCAGACATCCACGAGCTGTCAACCGTACTCTTGGACCTGCCGGACTTGTAGCGACCTCGAGCATCCAGCAGTCCGCAGCCATGGGCGTTTGTCAAAGCACCCAAGTCGAGGAGGTCCATGTGCCTTGGGATGCATGTTGAGGAAGCGGGGCATGGGTTCAATCGCAAGACCGCTGGATCCAGGCCTTGTTGTACTGTCATGGCGCAAGGAGTCTCCAAGGTTTTTCGTGGGCCCACGGTACATGACAAGCTCCAAATCGAAGGCTCATTGTTTTTGCTGTGTGAGATGTTCTGTTATCGGTGATGCCTTCCTGCCTTGGCAGCTCAACAGCCTACATCCCCACCGCCATTTGGACAGAGGTGATGCTTTCAGAGCTGCAATCGGGGGACGTGCTTCTTAGCAAGGAGCCAATCCTCTCGAGCATCTTGGCAAAAAAAGACGTTGTACTTCACGTCTGCTGCCTTCTGAAAACCTTCGCCCAGACTCGCAAGGAGAGAAGGAGGTAAGTTTCGGGGTCCTCTTGGAACTCAGGTCCTGGCGCCTGCTTCATGCGTAGCTGCCTTTGTTGGCAGGCGGGGCCGCGGCCAAGGCTGAGGTGAATAAGTTTGTTTCCTGGTTTTGACACCAACTTGTTTCCAAAGCAGTTTCAGGGAGGTTTACATTGATTTGGCTCTGTGATACAGATGTTAACTGTCTGAATTCCTGGGTAGGAGCTCAGTATCCACTTGCTTGTTGGAGCTTGGCCTACCGCTTCCGCGTTCTTGCAGACCCATCACATAGGCCTGGTGGTGAATCCTGCTGATTTTCCTGCAGAATCACACCTCCGTCGTCGCCACCCCGAGATGGAACAAGGCAGAACGCACCTTGGCCTTCATGAAAAGGGGAGCAGACGACGAAACAAAAACATGATCTTTCATTTCGAAAGGGAAACGAGAACAACTGACGAGAGATGCATGTGCTTTGAACGCCGCATCGCGTGCTCGTGGTGTGCAAGTGTAGGCGCCTGATTGCCGTGATTGGGGATCCACGCAGGTACGTGTTCCATGCGCTTGTGACTGGCATGAAAGTCTGGGACCTCGAGCGCTACATTCGTCGGATTCACAAAGCTTGTGTCTTGCCAGGCTCTCCATGACTCATGTCGGCAATTCCGAAAGTCCGGGCATGGATGGGTTCCCACGATAGCCGAAGCGAACTTGCGGCATGCGGCATGAGCCAGGGTCAGGGCCGGGCTGGCTGGGAAAGATCGAAAGCTAGAATCCGAAGACGGAGCACCTGATGGCCTGAGGGGCCCGAGCAACAGCCTTGAAGCTCCATTTTATCTCGCTGTTGTTCAAATTTGAATCACGAAGCCCCGAGCTGCAGCGAGCTCGCGCAGCGGCCTAGCACGGCCACCTGGCAGGAGAGGCTTGGGTGCGTCAGCTGCGCCCCAGCACCGAGACTTCCTCTGAGCCGTCCGGCCAATCTTTATTTTGGGTCTCGCCCGGCTGTAAACAGAGCAATCCGCAGAGGTATGCATGTTGAGCTAAGCTTTCGCCCACAACTCATTGCGGAGCTGGATGCCGCTTTCGAGGAGCTGGCCTCGTTGATTGCTTATAGGCGCTACTTAGGCAAGTCGTCGAAGAGCGATTGAAGTCTCCAGACTCTCCAGACTCCACCGTAAACTTGTGAAGTCAGGAGCTCCACAGCCGGCCGTACGAGAAAAATCAGCTGTCGACTCTCCAGGCCTTCTGCGACTGCGCGGAGGCCACTTCAGCGGCTTTTGAGTTGTTGGGGATCTTGAGTCGTGAGCATGGACTGGGATTGAAAGTGGTGCCGCATTCGGTGCAAGTGCTATACCAAAACGAGAACCGAAATTTGGAGTGAGAAGAAGGGGGCTTGAGCTGAATTGGATTGGGCTCGTCTTCAGTTGTAGGCACAACGTTCAGATCAAAGCCGCAATGCAGATCAACTCCCACAGTCGCCCTCGACCCTTCCGGCCGATGAGGTGTGTGGCCTCTGCCAAGCCAAGCAGGACTGTCCGAAGGCCAAAATATTGTTGATTCTAGTCTCTAGTCCATCTGGGGTGTCGAATTACCGCCATTCAGCAGATGCCCCGAATTTTGGAAAAACCCGCATGGTTGCCGGGGAAGACAGGAGGTGGGGGGTCGGGGTCCAGGAAAAGAAGGACAGTATCCGTTTCGCGTATTGTGTCAAGATAGCCATGTCATGCCATGTCAGTACCAAGTTCAGAGTGCATGTATACAGATATGTATGTATATATACACAGACATACATACATACATACAGACATACACACATACATACATACATACATACATACATACACGCACATATACATACCTACATACCTACATACATACATACATACATACATACATATACATACATATTTATGCAACATACACACACTCTCAGGCCCACTTTGTCATGCAGCTCCTTGAACAGAATCATGCCCCTGCCTGCTAGCCATTGGCTCACTTAACTCTGTGTTGCAGTCATCGCCAAGTTGTGCTTGCAATTCGTGCGGCACAGCTGGGCTGCCACCTTCGGGCTCCAAGCCGCTATCGAAAATGGCGTTCTCGACATTGCAGGCAGCATCGAAGCTACGCGCGAAACCATGTATGGACTGGCCTGTCTCCATTCCCGGACCCCTGGTGAGGCAATGTCATATGTCATGTGAGACAATAGTATAGTCGCAGGAATATAAATAGATAGTCTTAGTGAATCATGGCAGCCGTGTCCTATGTTCTGTTAACGATTCCGATCGTCATTTCGAGAGCATGCGGCTTTCTGCGCAGGCGACCCGCTTTGAATGCATTCCTAAGTTTCTGAAACACAGAATCATGGAACTAATGGAAAGTCCTTTGGCAAGAGAGTTTTTATGATAATAGTGCCCGGAAGCTCCGCAGAAACAGTTGGTCCCCGGAAGGCCGCGGTGTCCGTGGAAGCTCCACCTGAAGATAAGTCACGCCGCAGATGTCCTGTGTTTGGCCCTGACTATACTTAATGTCAATGTTTTCCCGAAGACAGAATGCAATGTGGATGATGACGCAGAAGAACAGAATAACATATAAACCCTAAACCGTAAAACCTTAACAAACCTCAAACTCAAACCCCTAAGCCCAAAGCCACTTCAAACGCCTAGAGCCACAAGCCCCGAAGCCGAAGTCCCCAGACCGCCAGCAAGGACTCGTGTATGAAACCTTAGACCTGCATCTTTATGGCCGTATCTGTGCCTTTCGATGCATAAATGACCATCATGGACAAAGCTATTGCCCTCAACCTCGCGAGATGTCAGCAAGATTCAGAGCAACCCAGCCTTGTCAGAAGCATGCTCCTATCTACAACCAGGCTTGTTGTTGTCAGTTTCTTGCCATCTCCATTTCGTGTTCACGAGTACTCGCAAACTTGACCAAAGTCATGTGGAGCAGAGGAGTAGCACGACAGTGCTATCTTGATCATGATGATCATCACCATCTCCAGTTTATTGTTATCATGATAGGGGACGTGCACTGAAGCCCCGTGGAAGGTGGACCCCTTGAGGTTGATCCCGAGCGCAGTCATACTCAAAGTTTCAGTCATCGCGATGGTTTCATTCCTTTGTATGCGCCATTTCTGCAAGCCCAAAGCCAGAAACATGGCGCACACACACACACAAGCACCAGACCATGCCCAAAGGATATTCACCTGCAGATAGACAGAAGACAAGTGCGCATGCACTATTGCAGCCCACACGCCCTCGAAACAGAAGACTTTTTCACAGCCTTGAGCACGTCGGCAGAACGGGATCCTTGCAGACTTCGTGAAACTCATCCATCCGCGTGCTTCATCTTTTTCTGAAGGCTAGGGGTTGCTATGGGACTTGGAACTTGGATTGGAAACCGAAGCCGAAAGCTTCAGATGTGTTTGCTTTTGCCTTCGCGCGCTTTGTGTAAGCTTGCGTCAACATTCCAAATGCTTCTTTGGTGCTGAAAGCTATACGCGAAGTTTTCCCAAACAAACAGCCTCCTCAAGACTTGAGCCCGTACTTGCGGCAGCAAGCCCGCGAACTCAGCGAAAAAGCCAGCGTGGAAGGGAACCGTGGAAGCGATATACAAGTTGATGCCTGCGGAAGCGAAAGCGTCGCGCGCGGAAGCGCTGCGGCTGGGTTTCCTTATCACACTCCACACAAACAGGAATAAAAAAGCACAGCTCAGTTACTGTGTCTTCTACATGCTGCAATGCCGGCCCATCGTTCTGAATTGGCAGACGCGAAGCACGATCGTCCCTGCAATCTGTGGGTTTGCATCGCGACAGTTGACATTGCACGTCCTTAGGGTTTGACATGTTTCCAGTGCCTGCGTTGTGGCGGATTCCACCGGGGCGCTTCAACTCAGATGTCTGGTTGCACGAAGGACACCTCCAGCATATTCTGTTCAGAGCTTGTGGCTGAAGTGCTTCAACGAGGCTCATTGGGGTGCTGGAAGGTTGGCGTTTTTGAGGGTTGCATGTTGTAACACGTATACTATACTTGCTCGCGCCCGTCTCCGGAATCACTGTAATGTCCGAGTCTTATTCCAATGCTTCCTTGGGACATGTGCGTTGCAGGCAAAGTCCTCTCCACCGACCGGCCTTCATCCGAGCGTACTGACTGAAATGGTAGCACTGCTGGGATGCCCGAGTCCTCATGCTTGTTGGTTTCTGGTGTATGCTTGGCAGCCATCCTGCCAAGAGAGCCGTGGTATTTGCAGCAGCGAGGGACAGCGACATCAGTTTGTTTGAGATTGGTTTGAGGGGCTAGCTTCTGTGTGAGTTCTGGTCGAGGTCATCATGTAATGGCAATGTCCGCCGTGAACACGACACCCGACCTAGACTCGCCCATCAGCTCGGAGATGCGCCGAGGATCTGGGATCTATAGAAGTGTATAGGAGGCAAAATCAGCAGAAGCCGAGGTTTACACCGATGGACTTCTTGAGGAGCGACGGGCGATCGGTAGAACAGGCCTTGGCAGCCTTGGCATAGGTGCGAGCCGTGGTATTTCGCTTTTCAGAGCCCCTGTAGAGGCGAAGCTGCAGTCTGGACTGGAGCTGAGCCGGGTCCGGCGGATCGAGGTGAGTTGATGTGAGCGCCAGGGTTCTTGTGGGGTCTAGCTGCTAGCTCGGTGTTTGGATAAAGCTTAGAATAAGAGCCGGAAAAAGAGATGGATATATTGGAACGGGATAGGTTTCGGAAGCACCAGGCAATGCGCTTCTTTGCGGGTGATTTCGGTGTAACCCACCAGAAAGCAGGTCCGAAAAGCCTGACCGGTCCTGGAAATGGTGGCTGCAGGATCTTGCGCCAAGAAAAAGCTGCCTTGGAAGGTGTGCACCACGTGGTACTCTTCTCGGATCATGCAGGAGTCAGCTATGATTCTATGCCTGGCCACGCTTCTGAGTGGTTGTACTGAAGCCGAAGCCGTCGAATTGCTGTTCGGACACACAGTTGTCCACACCCAACAGCCTCAACAAGACCTTCTGCATGCCCGACCCCAAGGATCTGAAAAGACGTTGCCAGCCTTACAGACATTGCCCCAACACATGACGCATGTGGATGTGTTGAGTTGGAGCATTCCAGCCAGTGTTTGGATGAAGCGGAAACGTGGACATGGAGAGACAGGCGAGCGCAAGGCAACTTGGTTTTCAAGTCGGCACTTCTCCTGCTTGTAGAGAACACAATCAGTCAGCAGGATGTTTCTTTGCCATTTGGAGTCTGGACCCGTCTGCGAACATCAAGCAAAGCCAACCTGCACAACCATGCAAAACGGCAAGCACTGCTGCAGGGGCTCCGCGGCGTGCGCTACTTTGTGCTCGATGCAGACTGACTGAATTGGCAGTGGTGTGTTCTTGGTTCCCCAGCTTCAAGGTTGCATGCGATACCATGCGATTAAGCAGGGACGTCTGTACCGGACACCAGGAAGCGGACAGAATGCTGGACATGGGCTTCATGCCACAGGTGAGAGCCACTTGGAAAGAAGACTTGAGCAATGACTTCACAGATGCTGGATGTTCAATATATTGACTTGAGCGACCCATCATACTTGCAAGCCTCGCTGCAGAGATATGTCTGCAACTGTGACCACACGAGCTTGAGTGACAATATGAGAGGTCAATTTAGGACAATATAGGGATTGAGCGACAGGATGCGCTCTCCCCATCATTGCCCTTTGTCAATTGGTGTGCGGATCCCAGAAAAAGAGACATTGCATCTACCCCTCCCAGGAGATCCTGCAGCTGTTAGGCCGCGGCCAGAGACAAAGCTTGCTCTTCAGCGCCGCCTGTCCTGGAAGTGTTTGATGCCACAGCGTCGGAGTCGGCTTCATGCTGGTGTTGCTTCTGTGGAATATGCAACACATGGTGAGTGGATGTCCCATGCATCCATGTTGCTGCCAGCATTCTTCTGAAGCTTCGTGCCAAATGTTGCAAGAAGTGGTTGTAGATTCAGCTTCAAGCTTTACCCGCCAGCACGGTGCCAAGGCCACATGGCCTCCGGCAGTTCATAATCTGGCGAGCCCCTTGCCCAAGCAGGAGCTTATTACATATGTCGGTTTGAGAGGCCTTGCCGGCGTTGCCCAAAGCCTTGAGCGAGAACGGGATCATGTCATGAGCTGCTGCATTAGTGAATGACGACACCAAATGGAGCACACATGAAACTCGTATCCGATTAAGGAGAAGTTCTGTCCGAGAGGCTTGGCAGCCATTCTCCATTGAGTGCCTCTGGGGTTGAGGATGTTGAGGTGAAAGCGCTCGCGGATCTCCTAATGAGCGTGTATGTGTGTAGGCGGGGGGGGGCGCAGTCAGGACGCCCATACGCGTCTCCATAGAAACTTGGCAGCAGGCATGTAGTCGAAAGCATCCGGATCCTTCAGAGCTTGCTCCAGCTAACAGGCATTTGTGAGGCAGAGGGTACCAACATGGTCGTGGACTTGGCCATGCCTCCAACTACAGTGCCACAGCAAGTACTAGATGCGGCTCCGTGCATGGCGTTGATGGGCTGCGCATAGATCACTGCATCCAATGAAGTCTGAATGCTTTCCGAAACTGAAGAAGGGAAACACAAAGCACCTGCGCACTCCCAAGCCCCCTCCTCCCAGGCCGCAGCAGCAGAAGCCGAACCAAGCCCACGCACAGTCCAGGATCAACACCAGGGTGAGGAGCTCAGTGCCAACGCCTCCGTGGTGCAGCAGGTTGAGGTCGTCCGCCCGGAGCCTCAGGGACATGTCAGACATGACAGCGCGGTGCAAGGAGGGCTCGGTTTCGTCCGCATCGCCAAGGGGAGCGCGACAAAGAAGCGCACCTCTTGGAGCAGCTTGGTGATTCCTGGGAGATGCTTTTGCCGAGGTTGTACTGTGAGAACAGTCTGACGATGAACCCGACACTGATAGTCAATTTAGCTCTTTTTGTGATGGCACTTTAACGAGAACCCGAGGTTGGAAAAATCCCCAAGTGCAGGGACAGGGCCCACCACACACCTTCCAGTGCGATTTGCTTGTTTCGGCCGAGGCTTCTGAAAGATCATGGCAAGGGGAAGACCCTCATCTTCGTAAATACGAAGAAAGGTCCGGGGGAGTTGTCGAATGCCACATGTCGCAGCTGCCCAATCTTTGCGTCACATCACCCGCAGGATTGGAGGGCAGGTATTTGTGGACTGTAGCAGCTGTAGCAGGGTCTAAAGCAGGGCCTTGTGATCGGAATTCGGTGTTGCCAGGTAGGTCATGAAAGAAACATGACTGTGCAGGCCTGCGTATCGAATTTGAGAATCATGTAATTGAGTTGAATGTGAAGTCCAGGCCATTGCATTGGGTGCTGCTTCCACAGTGAAACTTCGCGGACGGCCAATAGCTGCTGTACGGTTTTTCTTTGGAAATCAGTGTCCGAAGGCTGCGCCGCCTTAGCGGCAAAGCTCCGCATGGCCGGCATCGCTTCTCGGCTCAGGGCCTCCAACTTCTTCCTCAGCGAAAGCTAGCAGCGGCGATGATTCTGAGGTGCCCTGTGCCGAGATCCACGGCAACCTGACACAGGCCTTACAAGTCGGTTTGCCGAGGCAGTTCAGGGCGGAAGGTTTTGCATGCCAAGGGAGACATAGTTATAGCAATAGTAGTATAGATAGGCAGGCATGACCCTTGTCAAAGCTCATTTGCATCGGGCTTTGCCTACTGCTTGGCTGCTACCTGGTACGTGTACGTACGCTGATGACCCGCGAGAGAGAGAGAGAGAGAGAGAGATAGGGGTGCTTGTTCGCTTCCCTTGACTGTACTGAAGAAGAAAGCGAGAGAGAGAGAGAGAGAGAGAGAGAGGGAGGGAGGCAGGGAGAGAGAGAGAGAGAGTGACAGAGAGAATAAAAGGGCTTGCTCCCTTTGTCCCTAGCCCTGGCGAAAGAAGAATATGATATTATATCATATTGTCTTGTATTACACTATAGTACATAACATAATATATAATACTATATACAATATTGTAATAGTCTATATGGCATTAAATATATAAGATTATAGTGTCATTTATAATGTTGTAGATAATATTATAATATTGTGTATAATATTGTATACAATATTACATCTAATATTGTATAATATCATAAAACATTATATAACACATAGATATACACATACATACATACATACATACATACATACGTACGTACGTACATACATACATACATACATATACACACACATACATACACACATACACACATACACACCCACACACCCACCTACCTACCTACCTACCTACCTACATACATACATACATACATACATACATACATACATACATACTATGCAGCATATGTGGCATGCATCGTTTTCACGCCGAGCAGCCTTAAAGGAGGCATTCCTCAACAGGGGCCGGGAAAGGGGAGCACGCGGGGCTGCGACTCGTCCCTAGGGGATTGGCATTCATCCAGGTCGTCGTCGAGGCAGGCATGGATTCTTAGCTAAGAATCACGGAGCTGGACAACTCCTTGCCTGACAGACCCCAGAGATCGGTCCGAGTAGATTTGTGCCACCGCCACCGCCTAAAGCTACTTTTAGGAGCTAGTACAGATCTAGGAGAGAAGCTAATGCTGTTCCGAAAAGACACCGAACATATCCGAACGGCTGCTGTCAAAGTACGCACAGACAATGGGTGACAACAGTGGGTCAGCAAAGGGAGATGTTGTCTTCGTTTTTTACCGCTTGTAGTTGGGTTCGTATCGGTTTCATTGTTGTGTGTCCGCTTTGTTATTCCCTTTCCCTGGTGGGCTTTTTGTATAGGGAAGCACACAACACATCTCGAGCCGGCAAGCCTACAGAAGCGCGGGATTTACGCATTTACGCCCTTCGTCTTGGGGCCTGGAGTTCCTTTTTGTGTGCTTTCCGTTTGCTTTTCGTTCAGTCATTTACTCTCGTTTGGATGTGTTCTCCGTTGCGTCCTCTGCGAAATACACTCCCAGGATTGATAGTAGTAATTGTACATGTAGTAACTTGCAAGCAGAGACACAAGCTTAGAAGCAGAGGGTCCGGCTCTACCAGGCAGCTACTCGCTCACCTGTGTTGCAACTTGTGCAGGCTGAGCGTGCCACTGCTTTAGCTGCACCTTGGCAGCTTATGGCGCTCGAAGAGAAACCGTAGAGCGCAGCAGAACCCACATGATCCTGAAGCCAAGTTCCGACAATCAGGAACCATCGTGATACATCATTAGTATCATCTCTGACCTCATGAGATTTTACATTCGCGTTGAACATCAAGATGCAAATCCCCTGCCAACAGCATCTGGGCTTAGCAGAGCTCCAGGAGTTCTCTACGGGAACTTCGCGGACACTTGTGGCCACAGACGTGGCCGCCAGAGGCCTTTGCCCCAGTAAGAGTCGCAGCGCGTGATATGTTGCAACCGTGCAGGGAGCAATACTGTGAAGCTTGGTCGTCCCTCCCTGAGGTTTAGATGTCGAAGACATCACGCTTGTGGTTTGCCACCTGTTGGCATTGACCTGATGCTGTTCCTCGCTTCCCGAGCTGCTTTAATCACTACATCAGCATGCTAGTGCTGCCCACGTGTGCAGCATTTCTGGCATGAAAGGAGTCACCCGTGCTTGTGCGCATCAGCTTCGCTGAGCAGGTTTTGATTTTCCGGATTCCATGACCGGCTGCTTGGACGAGTCAGTGACGATCAAGAGACAAGATGTAATTCGATCGCAACATGTACAGCGGTTCTTGATCCCAGCAGAAGATGCTTGTCATGCATCTGGGCTCCTTCAATCGGGCATGGTCACTGAGCACATGAAGGCACACGCGCTTTTTGCCACCGTCTCGTTCCCACTATTGTGTTGACTTGCTTCTTGCTTTCACGGAGTCCATTCGAAACTCAAGCCAATCCTGCGAAATCAACTTCGAACCGTGAAGACTTGCCCTCCCTCAGTGAAAAGGCGGCCTGGAGGACTATGTGCACCGCATCGGCCGAACTGGCCGAGCCGGAAGGGCCGGAGCCGCTGTGCCTTGGCGAAGGGACGGCTGGGGCATTGCAAGGCAGACTCAAAGAGTCCTTATGAGTTCTTGGCTGTGAGATCGAACAAGCGGCCTCAGTGGTGGTACTAGTATGCAAACCTTCTTGGACATTTGGTGTCAAAGTGATGTGCATCTTTTGCGCAGCATGCCCTCAGGTCACATTTTTCCCTGCACCGGAGGACGTCTCGGGCACGCGGTCTGCAGGCATCGACATGCATTGGCTCTGCAAAGTGTTTGTGGCTGTCGGGTGCAGGACAAGGTCGGGGGGCGAAGCCTTGCTCATAGAATTCTTCGGCTCCATGCAGTACCCCTCCCCCCCTGCCCGCCATGGAGCATACCCTCAAAGGCTTATGAACCTTATGCCAGGCTGCAGTCCAGCCATACGGTAGCTATCGTGAATCTGGTCAGGACATCGACACACCCCAGCCCGCAAGCATACACCACACCAAGTTCCTGCCGAGCCCCGATTGCGCCCGTCCTGCCAGTAAGACGCCCTCATGGCGCCGGCAAGGAATAAGAGAGCCGGAGCGATGGCAAAGGTGAAGGCCACCGGGGACAAGGAAGAGCCTGGTTCCCAAAAGAAGGTAAAGAAGGCGAAGCCTGGCTCCTTTCAAGGTCTCGGACTGAGCCCACCCGTCTTCAAAGCAATTATGCGCTGCCTGGGATGCATGGAGCAGGTTTCCGTGCCCGTTTTTGTTTTTCAAACCCCTTCATGCATGCAACATGTTGCAACTTCCGAAAATCAACCGGATCATAAGCGGAGACTCGGAGAGTTCGGGTGGCGACGGTTTGCGGAAGCCGAGGCTTGGGATACAAGGTGCCGACCCCGGTTCAGCGGCGGTCCATCCCGGTAATCCTGGAGGGTCAAGACACGGTGGCGATGGCCCGTACAGGCTCCGGGAAGACAGCGGCCTTCGTGATCCCCATTCTTGAGCGGCTGAAGCAGCACTCCGAGAGTGTCGGCTGCCGAGCCGTGGTGTTGTCGCCTACCCGGGAGCTGGCTCTGCAAACCGCGAAGGCTTGCCGTCAGCTTGCGAAGTTTTTGGACCTGCGAATCTGTGTACTGGTGGGTGGCCAGGCCTTGGAGGCACAATTCGAGCACCTGGCCAACAATCCCGACGTGCTTGTGTGCACACCAGGGCGGCTAACGCACCACATCTCCGAGGCGGAGCTGAGCCTCCAACGTGTGGAAGTTCTTGTTTTTGATGAGGCGGACCGACTCTTTGAGTTGGGATTCGCAGAGCAGCTGCAGCAAGTCTTGGAGGCCTCGCCACCGAGCCGCCAGGTGCTGCTCTTTTCTGCCACCCTGCCCCAGCAGCTAGTGGCTTTCTCCCGTGCCGGTATCAAGGATCCTGCCTTCGTGCGCCTGGATGCGGAAACCTCTCTCTCCGAACAGCTCAGCCTTTGGTATCTCTTTGTGCGCCAAGATGAGAAGCTGGCAGCGGCCGTCGCCGTGCTGCGTCGCTTCCACAAGGAACACAAAACCACCATCATGCTCCCAAAATCGCACCCAGAGGGACTAGACTTGCCAATCAAAGTAACCTTGTAGCAGCTGGTAGCAATTGGTAGCACATGGTGGCACTCTACGAGAGGAATACTTAAGCGCATCCCAACCCCAGAGTTCATGCTTCCTACGTACCATGAGCGAGACGGCAGCAGCCGATCCTCGCGTTTTAGCATATCCGCTGCACAAGGTTTGTTGCTACGAAGCATCACGTGGAATTCTTCAATGAGCTTTTGCAGCAGCTCGGGCTTTCGGTGGCAGTGGTCTATGGTCAGATGGATCAAACAGCACGTCAGGAACAGGCCAGATGCTTTGCCAGAAACAGTCATGTCGACGAACAGCCGAGTGAGAGATAGTGAGAGTTGCAGGTGGCGCGCTTCAGAAAGAAGGAAGCCTTAATTCTGGTAACGACGGACGTGGCGGCGCGCGGCGTGGACATTCCGCTGCTGGACCACGTCATTTGGCATGGCAACAGCAGATAGCATCTCTGTTTAGACTGCACTGTGGCTGTTCAAGGTCTTAGTCGATTTCTCCGTCCTCTGTGCTCGTAGGTAATGTTTCTATCTCAGGTGGTGAACTTCGACTTCCCAGCCAGTGCGAAGCTTTTCATCCACCGCTGTGGGCGAACTGCCCGCGCAGGCCGCAGTGGCCTTGCAGCGTCACTTGTCACTTTGGACGACCTCCCATACACAGTGGAATTGATGACTTTTCTGGGACACAAGCTGCGACTTCCCGATGAGGATCTTGGCACAGAGGATGACATAAATGCAGCATCGGCACCCGTGCTTGGTGCCATGCCGGCCCTGGACCATGAAGTAGAGGCTCTAGGCGCATTGCTGGAAGAGGGCTCCTTGTTGCGAAGTTTACAAAAGTCGATGCAAGCTTCGTACAAGCTCTACTATAAAACCCGACCTTCTGCTTCACGTGCATCTGTCGCACGGGCGAAGCGGCTTCTTACAGATTGCGGCGGCCCGGCACACCTCCAGGGCCTTGTGCATCCGGCCTTTGCTAACGGCCTGGCGGCTCCCACAGCCAATCAAGCGAAAGCTTCGACGGTGCAGACAAAGGCAGACATGCCAGCCATCTCGTCCGACCTCGCTTATCTGAGGAACCTGCGAGGATACCGTCCCAAAGCTGAGAAGCTGGGCAATGTGCTCTCCTTCTCTGCCATGCGGACGATGGAGCAAGAGAAGCTAGATGCTGCAGCCATTGCTTCTAAGGACACCCAGGAAGCGATCCTGGCTGAACCTTCAGCCTCAACTCCGCGACGCCGGGTACAGACCCAAAAGAAAGTTGCAGCACCTGCGCCGCAGAAGGCCGTGAAACGGAACCGTCCACATTTGTCGAAGGCTGCCCGGCGACGCTTGCGTGCCGGGGATACCGAGGAGACAGAGCTCGTCGATGAAAACTTTGACATCACCGTGAACGACGGGGACGAGCACCAAAAAGGGGAAGATGGCACAGGAAAAGGAAAGACGGAGCAGTTCTACCTTAGCACCGAGAGAGATTTGACAGAGGAGGCTCGGGAGCGTGGCTACGACATGGAGCAATACCAAATGGACCTTTTGCCTGACGATGCATCGGACATCAAGAAGGCGAAGAGCGTCATGCGGTGGGATACCAAAAAGAAGAAGTATTTGCCGACAATGGTGTCGGTTGACGGCCGTGCTCTCAAAGGTCAGCGCCGCAATGAGAGCGGGAAGAAGGTGAAAGGCGAGAAGGAGAAGGGCAGCGCCTACCAGAAGTGGTCCCAAGCGACGAAACGACGCATCCAGAAGGTGGGGGAGGTTGAGGACCCCTCGAATGCACTGGGCAGGCTGAGAAAGTCTGAGGCGAAGACTGTCGACTTCGATGAGAAGGCAGAACCCGTGGAGGCAGCAACCTCCCGAAAGCCTGTAGTGCCTTTCCATGGCCGTATCAGTCAAGAGCACTTGACACACAAGCAGAAGCGAGCCCTCAAGAAACGGGCGAGACAAGACTCGGTGGCTGAAGGTGGAGGTGCCTCCGAATTGAAGACAGCTCAACAGATCCAGCAGGACAAGAAGCTGCGGGACCGGCAGAAGCTCAAGCAGAAGCCTTGGCTCCGCAAGCAGCGTGCAAAGCAAGCCAAGGAGACCCGAATGAAGAAGATGGAGGAACGCCAGATGAAGTACGGCGCTCGGACGAAGGCCAAGATGCTGATCATTGAGGGCCCCAAACGCTGGACGAAACGGCAGCAGAAGCCGCAAAAGGGCTACGGCCGGCGACAAGATTTCTGAGATTCTCTGCCGCAGAACGCCAGGATCTCCCCTGCTTCAAGGAGAGATGGTGAAGGGTGACGCCAAAGGCGGCCCAAAAAGCCGGCCGGGAGAGAAAGAGCTGCAGGTCTTCTGGCCAATGCTGCTTACCGCAGTGTTGGAATGCTTGCCTATATTTCTGCAAGCGAGTGCGCATAATTCTCACCCACCGTGCACGAGTCTCTCGCCTGTATACGGTTTTATACCCATCATTGATTTCAAAGGTGCATAGAATCTATGCCAAAACCACAACAGTGGATATCTACGGCGACTGTTGCACCACCAGTACATATTGTAACTGTATATTTGTTCTGCTATGGTATGGTCCAGCATGTATGCTATGCAGGAGTATAGGCAGTATGGGTATGTGGGGTAAATACATGTATGTATGTGATTGTACCTGTATATATGTATATATGTATGTATGTATGTATGTATGTATGTATATATATATATATATGTATGTATGTGTGTGTGTCTGTATGTATGCATG